AAAAAGTTATCTACTCTAATTCTTCCACTCATTTTGCAATCATCTGCAATTTGGCTTCTGATCTCCTAATTTCTCAGAAAATGCTTTCTCCAAAATTAACCATAATCTCTTAATTGCCAAAACTAATGGCACTTTCTCAGTCTTCTTCCTATTTGACCTTTCTTCATCATTTGAATCTGATAACTGAAACTTTCTTCTTTCTCTGTGATGCTATTTTCTCACAGTTCTCCTTACTTTGGTTCCTTCTCAGTCTTCTTTGCTGGATTATCATCCACATCAAGCCTTGCAAAGCTTTCTGGGGCCCTTTTCTCTTGTGTCTCTACACTGACTGCTCAATCATCTTATCAGGTCCCAAGGGGCTAGCTACCATATTTTTGTATAACTCTAAGACCTCTATGTCCTAGTATTAGCCACTCTCCTGAGTTCCAGTTCTGTACTTCCAATTCCCTACGGGACATTTTCAAGTGGAAAAACAGTCTCAAATCCAACATGCTCAAAAAGTGGAACTCATCTTTATGCCAAAATCATCTCTCTTCATTCTAGGGACACTATCCTCACAATATCTCTCACATATCTGGTCCCCTACTATATGTAGAAGAAAAATATTAATACCATACTCTGTATCTGGACACAAGTCTGCTAGAAATAGGGGCAATTACGTGGCGCAGAGGATAGAGTGCTGTCCCTGGAGTTAGGAAGAGTTCACATATGGCCTCAGACACTAAATGTGTGACCCTGGGCAACTCACTTAACCCTGTCTGCCTCTGTTTCCTCATCTATAAAATGAGCTAGAGAAGGAAATGGCAAACCGCTCCAATATCTTTGTCAAGAAAACCCCAAATGGTGGTCACAAAGAGTTGGACACAACTGAAAAGAATGAACAAAACTACCGGAAATAATTTTATTTAATGTAATAATCTAATATCTAAGCCCTTTCAAGCTTAGAGAGAGATGGTCTACCTGGCACAGTGCCCCTATGCCCATGTCTCCTCCCAAGATTTGAGGTAACAAAAAAATCTTAAACAAAGAAAATGTTACAGTATATTAAAATATGGCTTGGGTTAATATTGAGTTAACACAATTGCCTAAATAATAGTCATTATCCTATTCTTTCCTGGACTATTCCTCTCAAGGACATAAAATGAGCCTCCTCATCAACCAATATCCCAATTTTTCCTGAATAGAGAGGATGGGTCACTAAGCTAACAGCTTCAGAGAATGGAGAAAGGAGATCACTCAGAGATCAATCAATAGCCCAATCGCTTCAGAACTTGGTAAAAGCAACAAAATGAGCGGTATTTTTTTGTTTAAAGTTTAGTTTTTGCCCTTAACCATCTCCCTCAAAAAGGACTTTTGTTCTCAACCTATTACCATCTTTCTAAGGGGACAAGTCTGGGGAAAGGGTTTTCAGTTTAGAGAAATATTTATTTCTTAATACTTCTAGTTGAAATTTCTAATATACTTCCATATCTCCACTCATATGGCCACTATCCTATTTCAGGTCTTCATACCCTCTGGCCTGGATTACTACAACAGTGTTCTAATTGAATTTCCTGCATTCAGCATTTCTTCTCTTACATGACACTCAATCCACCATCTTCAAATTTTTGCAAAGGCTGTCTGTCCCCCATGCCTTTAGGTCCCTCACTTCTCAAGCTTTCCTTCTTAAGTTCCCTAGTTTCCTTCAAAGCTCAGATTAAGACCACTTCCTTCATGAGGCCTTTTCTGAACTCTGAGTGGCTACTGTCTCTCTCCCCCATTATTTATACATGTTTTGTATATACTGAGAGCAGTATATAAACTAAATGACACAAAGTAAAATAACTGAATTGAATAAATTATACAGAACACTTAGAACTTTTTACATCTAGGTAAAGCCTAATATGTAATGTGTCCTCTGTTGCAATTACTTCTTTTACACCATGTGGCAATGAATTCATAAAATGTTAATAGCTAATATTTAATTTTTCATCAGGAAAAATTTTATCATAGTGGATATTAAATGTGCCTTTAACAAACAGTCGATTTTTCCAAGGTGCTTGGCCTTCACTATAACCCATAGGTTTTCAAATGGGTTAAAATCAGATAAGTTTCCATTAAAACATGTTTATCTAACTCTTAGAAATTTCTTAACCTTTCATGACTCACAGCAGGGTGAAGGGTGATGCTGTACTATTCCATCTCCATTTGGGAATTTCTGTGATTCCAGAACAATTCTGCTTCTTGGTATATCAATATATCAGAGTTCATTATTCCCTCAAAGAGGACAATCAGGCCACACTGGACCCTTAGGTACAAAGATCCTTTGGATATAATGGACACTTTTAGATACACTGAAATAAAAAAAAAATTCTCTCAAGTAATGTTTTGGGTGGATGTTTTAGAGTCTGAAGAAGATACTAATCTGTTTTCTTCAGTTTCCTCAACTGTATAAAAATAATGTCCAGGGCAGTTGTGAGGGTCTAATGAGATAATTATTATAAAGTGCTTATTACTACAGTGTCTGGAACATAGTAGGTTTTTAATAAATCCTTTCTTCTTTCCTCTCTCCCCTAGATTTTTTCCCCATAACAGTTCTGGTATACCCTGAATGTAAAAGTGAGTTTTGTCAAAAAACAATGCCCCTCCATCACTCCCCTGTCCCAAAACAGAAACCCTGCTATTCAGGCAGCAGTCCTGATTCTCTGGACTTTTCCTATCCTGTTACAGAACAGAAATCTTTTCATCCTGGCGTGCTCTGCCCACATTGTCCCCATGGAGTCTTCCTCTGACTGGCTAATTCCTGGATCAGGCCAGCCATGCCTGTGTTCCTCTACAAGCTGTATTCCTGACTCTTTGAACTTTCTTAACCATGTACCAGGTAGGGGTAACCACCTGCCCTACCTCCTTTCAGATTTCTTTTATAGGATGTCTTCCTCCATTAGAATGTAAGCTCCTAGTGGACAGGTACTGTCTATTTCTGCTAGTGTTTGTATTCCCAGCACGGAGCATAGTGCCTGGCACAGAGTAAGCACTTAATGCTTACTGACTGACCAGAAAGTTCTCTTTTCCAATCCTTAGGACTCTAGCCTTTGTACTGTCTTATATGTGATAAGCATTTTTTATTCATAGCAACTATTAGCAGCTATTAAAAAACAAAAACAAGAAAAAGCTAATCTTCTCACTGTTCTTCTAACGCCAAGAAGCCTATAAGGCTTGCAGAGGTATCAATAACAACATCTTCAGCTACCAGGTCTTTTTTAAGGTCTTTGTTTTCCGAGGATTAATTAGATTGCTTCTCAACAACAATTTATCCGTTCTTGACCCTGTTTTTCATTTCCAACCATGCTTTCTTTTGTTCTTCTGTGTGACTGATTTTATTTTACTGTGGGTTTGAATGATCCTTAAAAAGGCTGAATTTCCAAAACAGGTAGTGCAATATCTATAATACTCAATGAAATGTGTTCTCTGAGAACTACAGCTTTTTCACATGACCATGGAGTAATAACCATTCTTAAAAACAATGGAATTAAAAGCAAAACAAAAGAAAGCAATGAAACAAGCATGGACAGCACAGAATCTAGCAGTCCAGCACTGAAATGATGGAGACTTAACTAAATTTGGGGAAACTTTTTTAAGTTTCATCTGGTTGAGGCCAGACATTCTGAGTCAGCCTAGTATCAGTAGAAACATACACATAATGCTGTCAAAAATTAATGTCAAAAATTAAATAACATAAAAATAATCGTTCTCAATAATTTGCATACCATTCTATATACATGTTTTTCCTCTCATAGAAGATAAGCTACTTGAATACAGAGGCTGTTTCATTTATGTCCTTGTATCACTAGAATCTAGTACACAATGCTTGGCACATAGAATGTGTTTAAAAAATGCTTTATGGACTGCCTAGTTTTACCACAAGGAAGTACAGCAAAATCCTTAAAAACTCAAATGAATTTATGATCTCTTGGATTTGCACGTTACCTCTAAAAATCATCCAGTGTGACTCTGGTTCATATCCTCCCATGGTTAATTTTCCTAAAAGCTCTATCTACTTTAACATAGCCAAAGATCTTATTCACATTTCTGGCTGCCCTATTATACTGTTGGTTCATATTGGGCTTTTAAAAGTCTGTTAAGAATCCTGGATCTTTGTCAAATAAATTGAAGTTGTCACCTTGATTTCTTGAACTCAGGTGTAAGACTTTGTATTTATCCCTATTCTATTTAATCCTATTAGATTTAGTCTATTGTTTTAGCTTGCAAGATCTTTTTTGGCTCCTGACTCTAGCTCAGGGTCATAGGATCAAAAATTTAGGTCTGGAAGAGGCCTTAGTAGTGGTTATCTAATCCAATTCCTTCATTTTAAAAATAAGGAAAGCAGGCCTCACTTCACCTTTATCCCCTGATGCCGAAATTCAGCAATCTTTGCACTTGATAGAGTGCCTCTTTGTAATTAGTTAAATTAATCTCATGATTAGTAGCCTTACCCTGATGTTTAGTCTATAGTGTATATAACAATAGTATACATTTAAGTAGCACTGTAAGGTGGGTTGGTTTTTTTTTTTTGGGTGAGGCAATTAGGGTTAAGTGACTTGCCCAGGGTCACACTGTAAGTATTTAAAAGTATTTTCCTCACAACAACTCTTTGAAGTATGCAGTGCAAAATATATATAAGTCTCTTTTTAAATGAGGAAATGGAAGCTCAAAGAGTTTAAGTGACTTGCCCACAGTCACAGAGATAGAATGTGTTACAGTAGAGACTTGAGACCCACTTTGACTTCCATTTTGGCATTTTTTCCATCATGCCTGCCATACTGGTTCTGATATGTATGCAAGGGAGGAAACTTGACCATCCCGATCAGGTTCATTTATCTCAGAAATGACAGAAATACCTTTGAGACACTCAAGGAATTATGGAATTTACTGCCTTTCTAATAATTAAACTGTTCCAAATTATCCTTTTTTCATTTTAACCTAATTCTTAATCCAGTGAAAAAGCATAAACAATGACTTACCTATTTTTCCAACTTCTTCAGCAAAGTAAGGATCATTCAAGTCAACATCAGATGGAAGCTCATCTTCACTGGTCTCTTTTTCATTAACAGACTGTAGCTAAACATAAACACAGTGCTTGAGATGTTATAATGCCAAGTGCAGTAACACAAATACATGGAAAAATATTGGATACTGCTTATTATTGTTGATATAAAGCAAAAGAACTTAATTTCCTATTGTTTTCTTATTTAAAAGAACTACTATGAATTTAGCTTTTAACATAAAACTAGTCAGATTAAAAAAATTGAGAACCATTTACACATTACAATTTCAAAGTATAATTCTGACGACGTATTTTTTTACTCCCAATATTAGATCATTCTTTTTGGCAGATTAATACACAGGATCTTTACCCAATTTCCAACTCACCCCATATTAGTCATAGTAAGAACAGTAAGCATTAGGAGCCTGGAGTATAGTACTGGTGTTATAACTGCTCTTTTGATTTTCATTTAAATTCTAACTTGCTTGTAGGTTATTTTGTGCTCCTTCCAGTTTCCAGTCCTAAAGTATCTAGTACTTAGGTAGTACAATCAGCTTCATAAAATCAAGTGTACAAAATAAACAATACAGACAAGCAATATGACATTTGGGTAAACTGAACTTTAACTAAATAATTTGTTCTTAGTGTAAAATTACTGCACCATAAAGCTCAGAAAGAATATTATAAAATTCTATTTTTTAAATACATAAGAAAACCTAGTAATAAGCAAGTTAAAGAAAAGCCATTTGGATAAGCTATATGGATTTAAGAAAGATAATATTTTTTCAACCTGATAAGATGAATTCAGTAGTAGCAATAGTTTTTTGGTCAAAGGGGACAGGTTATACAAAGACAGAGATGAGTGGGTTGTGTGTGAGGAATGGCAAGGATGCCAGTTCTCCTGGATCATGGAGTGAGTGGAGGGAAGTAATGTTGGAAAGGTAGGAGGGGGCCAGGTTATAACGTTATTTTGAGTTTATTCAGCAGGGGAGTAACATGGTGAAAATCAGACTTCAGGAAAATTAATTTGGCAGCTCTGCTAAGGATGGATTAGAGTGGAGTAAGACTTTAACAGGTAGAGCAATCAGAAGGCTATTGTAATAGTCTAGGCAAAAGGTGATATAGGACTTAGCACAAGGTAGTGTACCATGTTTTACTAATAATCCAATCTTATGCTCAGAATATTCAAGAATGTGCAACACACACACACACACACTCTCTTTCTTTGATCTTCTACCCATAGTACAGCCTGCTAGATTCTATTTTTGCTGATGGACTCTTTTCTAAACTTTTCTATCTTTCACTAGTTCCAGATAAATAGTATAATTTAATAATTAACTCAGTTCCCAACTCTTCATTTGCTGTTCTTAATCTACTGTATTCACATCCAAAGTACAAAATTCCTACCCTCAATCTCCCCCACCCTCCTACTATTATCTCTTTATTACTACCTTCTGTGGGAGTTCTCACTTAGTTCTTGGTCACTGTTTCTCTAGTGTCCTAAGCACGTATGTCTATGTACGTACAGATGTTCACACACAAGCCACCATTTATTCATTCCTTGTTTTAAAGTCTTATTTATTTTATTAGGGTTTTGCTTTGTGGTTGTTTGGTATGCCAAAGGCACTACTTAGCACTGGATTCTTATGTAAAAATGTTTGAATTTTTTGGTTGCGTTAAAAAAAAAATTCTGCATTCATAAATGAATATGCTCAGATTTTATAGTTAAGACAATTTTTTGAGCACTGCTGATTTCCATTGCTTTTTATGTACTATATTCATCATTCCTTATCATAAATGAGAAAGCTTGTGTGATTCCAATAGGTACCTGCTGAGATGTGACTGTGCTTATTATAGATTCTGTCACTTAGCACAGTGCCTGGCACATAGTAGACTCTTTAATAAACATACTGATTGATACTGAATATGATATATGTTTCTGGGTAAGTTAGATTTGAAGTTTCCTCTAAAGACGTTCTGTATATTCTACTAATCTGAAATTGAGCTTTAACTTGCAAACTGTCAAGGAAATTTTCTTAGATGATTTCCTGAAAAATATTACTCTGATTTAGTCTTCATATTTTCTGGGAAGTCAATAATTTTCAGGTTCTCGAACTGAACTCTATCTTTTGGGCATTTAATTTGTAAGGAAATTAAATTACATCTGCGTGTGTTGTTTTATTTTTTCATTTCCTTAACTCTTGGAATTTTTGTCTTTTACATAAACTACATTTCTCCTCAAGAGAACTATCATATTATTAAAAATTTCCAACTACAGTTCCAACATATGTTTAGGTTCATTTTTGTTTTTCCCTTATTAATTTTATTCCATCTTTATTGGGTGCATCTTTATTTCTCTAATCTTATTAACCAGGCTGAAGATTCTTGTGGTAGGTCTAGTTTCGATGCAGAGAGAGTATCCAACCATTGGACTCTAATGATTACTTTTCCTCAGCTCCATAATATTTATTTATTGTGTTGGAGCTTTTTGTTTCTTCAGCTGCTCTTTTTCCTTTTCTTTGGAATAATGTTCCCAGTAAGGATTTCTTTCTTTTCCCCTCTGCTGCTGTTTTTTAAAACTTTATTTTGGGCATATGTTGCTATTCTAAGTTGATGCTGTCAGGCTTTGTCACGGCCACTAATTCTGCAATCACGCTGAAACACTGCCCCACAGCCACAATGATTAGGGAAAACACCCAATTTTTAATGAAAAAGATGAAAAGCACTATATTTAATCAAGAAAATGATATGCTATACAATTTTTAAAAATGTGAATCAATGAAACTAGATACCAAAGCAAATACACACAGAAGAACTAACATAACTATGGTTTACTGTATGAAATTCTTATCTTCTTTGCAATGACTGCTGTATTTTCACACTACAACAAATTAGTAGGTGAATAAATACTGTTATAAGGTCTAGGAATCCAGAAAAGTTTTTGGGGGAACAGGTTTTAAACGATACCCTGGAGGAGACTTTTGGAAATATTTAGGATCCCTTAGTAACTTTTAAATAAATTGATCTGGGCATGTTTAAGTTTTGTTATTCTCTCTTTTATGTCTTTATAAATTTCCCTATAGCAAGCACAGTCATTAGACATTAAGTTGTTGGGCTTTAGTGAGTGTCAAAGTCTTTCTGCTTTTTTGAGTTTCTATATTCTCAACCACTGTAATTATACTTCCAACTCTAAGGTTATAAAGACATTTATATTTGCCATCAATCAACCTGAGTTGTTATTTCTGTCCCTCATCTATCACCATGTTATTGCTTCACAGTGTCAAAGAGCTTCAAAACTTGTTTGAATGACAGCTAAATACAAAGGTTGCATCCCACATACATACAAAATGAAATATCTTTCCATTGAAGTCACAGATGGGGCATACTGCTTTGTAACAGTGGTTTGCAGACTTAGAATACTGCCTTTTTTCCCAGACAGGATGAGATTATAAAGCAAGACCGGCTTCTTCTTTCCCCATTCATATACACTTGAATTTATAAATCCAAATGAATATTATAAGTCAAAAGCAATTGCTTCTGGAGAATATATATTTATTCCAAAGGTATGACTACTGCTAAAATTATCTTTGCAATTTTTCCTTATAATGGCCTACAGTACAAATCTGCCAATAACTAGAGGAAGTTACGCTTATTATTTTTAGTTACAGGACATTTTCCCCTGGCCTACTACTTTGACTCTTTCCCTTCTACAATTGCTGCTAGTGGCTTGAGCCAATAATGGAGGACCTCTTGGACAAAACAACTGTGCAAATGTAAGGGTATAAGGTCAGAATGAAGCTGAGAGACTGAGGCAATTTAGGCAGAATGCTGCTCCTGCCATCCTGCCAATGCATCTGCTATGGTGAGGCTTAACTAGTTGAACACAACGACTAAAGGTGAACTACTCTAAGCTGAAGGCTGTCCTTATTTTGTGAACTATACATCTGCAGTAATGTTCCACTAACTCCAAATACCAACATACCTAGAGTGGGCTTACACCTACCTGACTACACTACTGGCTAATCTGATTGTACCAATATTTTTACTTGTGAAAAAGGCATTTAGGTGGCGTGCTTAAATCATTATTAAATAATAAAGTACATTGTAATTTTGCAGCATACTGTGTTCAAAAAGAAATATTTTTAAACATACCTTCTGCTTCTTTTTCAGTTTTTTTTTCTCTTTCTTTTTCTCTAAAAATTGTTCCCAAGGAGTCAATTTATCTTTTCCTTCCAACTTGTTTTTGACCATCTCTTCAGCACTTTCTTTAAGTCCTGTAGAAAAATCCAAAGAACAAAATAATTTATGTTCTTACCACCATCTTGCTGTAGAAAGTAAAAAGCTTCCAAATTTCTAACAACCTGTCATATGGAAGAAGTAAGTTTAATTGAGATGATTCAGATGGACAGAACTATGATAATATAGTGCCTTATAGTCTCTTTCACAGGTTTCCCATCCTTACATCAAGATCACTCAGGACTCCTGGGAAGATGGAGCAACAGAAATGACCCTATTCAATAACCTTCTCATAATATACATCAGGTGAATCATAACATAGTGAGATGTATATTTGCCAAAGTTATTCACCACTACGATGGAGGAGACTCAGCACAAAGTCTAGGTTGGGAAGGGATTATCTGTGGATGTTAAGGTCTTCTAGCTACTGCTGTTTACAGATGACTTTGTGTTGACTACATCAAACGATAAAATATTATAGAGCCTCCTCAAAGATATATGTCATCAGGCAAAGGAATCTGGCTTGTCCACCCCCACAGTAAGGAACAAATGGATGAAAAATATCTATTGCTCAGATTTTAATACAGATTTGGATAGAAACCTTACTTAGCTTGTCTAACAGTAGGCATATCTGGGCCACACAGTAGAGAAGGACAATGAGGTGAGCCCAGAATTGAAAAAGGAAGGACTGTGGGCTAAATGGCTTTTGGGAAAATGCAAAGCTCTTTTATTGATCCCAGGCTTCCCATGAAAGAACAGATTCATCTTTTCAATGCCAAAAATCTATGGGTATTGCTATACGGCAGTAAGATGTGGAATACCACTGCCTCTGAAGAACTATTCAGATAACTATTACAAAGGGTAATGCAAAGATGCATGGTGGTATAAGTTGCAACATATAACCAATGACGAGCATAAAGGATCTCAGTCTGAACTATAAAACAGGCAAAAAAGAAAAGAAAGGATGATAGCTGGCTAAACAGAATACTCCCCTGGTACCCTTAAAATATGGGAGAATTAAGGAAGGCCTCCAGCACATCGGACTGACCCTGTGGAAAGTTTCCAGGAGAACATGAATGAGTTGCACAGGATTGTCAGGCATGGATGGTTTGCAGTCTGCTCTGTTGGAGGGAATGACCAAATTAATGATATCACAGATCAATTTTAGCATTTGTGTATAAGAACTAATATCCTAACAATTAGAAATTTCCAACAATGGAATGGGCTGCCTTATAAGTAGTATTAGGACCCCCATCATTGTAGGTTTCTCAGCAGAAGCTACATGTTAAGGAACCTGTACAGGTAATTCATTTCTTGATGCTATTCACTGGGCCCTATGACATTTGAGGTTCTCTCCAGCATCACTGACAAACAAAAGACCCCAAAAGACCGCAATGAATATCAATAATGACCCAAGGTAAAGGATTCACCTGAGCAGACTTGAAGTGATAATTAACAAAAGCTGGTTTCCCTAAACTAAATAAGCATAAACTTATTACAAGACATTTTGAAGAAAAATATTTACACTCTCCCTTCAGTCCAACATTATCTAAAGATTTTTAAGCCTTGTTACAAAGTGAAACAGACTGTGTAATGAGCTTGACTCATGCCCGTGATTGATCCTAACTCATGTGTAATAGAAATTTGGGAAAGAAAAAGTATGAAACTTGGAATCACAAGACATGGATTTGACACCTGGCTCTGTAACATAAACTCAGCTTTAGTTTTCTTATGCATAAAACTTGGCTTTTATCACACTCATACTATGTATAAAAATCCTGTGATAAAGGAAGAAGACAAAAATATAACAATTTCTTCAAGGAGATTACAGTTTAATGGAAGAAAAGGTAAGGGAGAAGAATATGACTAGTACAAATAAATATGATATAAGGTAGAATATAGTAGGAGCAGGGAACAGTTGAGCTAAGTGCCATGAGAAATTTAAGAAGAGGTAATTTTTAGGGGGTAGTGTTATGGTAGTGAAGGAGATCAAACATGGCAGAAGGTAATAGCAGCATAAAAAGGGGGCATTCAGAGGAGAGTGGGTAGTAGCTAGCTCAAGCCCTCTGACATAATCTTATTCAACTTTATTATTAAGGAATAAGTAGTCTCATTTTTTATAAGCATCTTATTTCAAGGAATATGAGGAGAGACAGGAGTGCCAAAATATAAGGGAGACAAAACAGAATGATAATAGTTTGAAGAGGTAGCATAATAAAATTCAATAGACATCAAAAAGAAAAGTATCAGACACAGGCATGGGAATACCAAACAAAATCAAAGTAAACCAAATCACTGATTGACAAACACCACAGGATTTATATCAGGATGACAGATGACAATTCTATTTCCTACATACCATCAACCACTGAAATGTAGACAAGGAAGGGAAGAAAATAAACATTTACTTAGCATTTACTATATGCCAGCTGCTAGCATTTTACAAATACTACAAATTACTACAATTTTACAAATACTATCTCATTTGAACCCTACAACCATTCTGAGAGGTAGGTGCTATTATTATCCCTATCTTATGGTTGAGGAAATTGAGGCAAACAGAAGTTAAGTGACTTGCCCAGGGTCACACAGCTAATAAGGATCTGAGGCCAAATTTGAACTCAAGTCTTTCTGCTTCTAGGCCCAGTGCTCTATCCAAGCTACCAGCTGTCTCTTAGCCATGTGCAATTCAAATAGATCTGTGATTTCATCAATATGGAAGTCCTTTCAATAACTGAGATGGCAACCCTTCCATGCCTGTCCATTTGTACAACTGGTTCACATTTTCAGATAAATGTGCTACGGATGTTCCAACCAAAGTACTGAAGGCCTTCGCTTTCTTCTTGCATCAAGAGGATACCAGTGGACACTTCTATACACCAGATAGCCCTTCCCATGCCATGTGACCAGCCTGTATTATCTTCTTATCATATACTCTCTTGATGATGTCTTTTACTTTAATTTTTCTTCCAAACTCCTCATTATATATTGTAGCCTGCTCATATCTACCACACACCTCTCCAATGCCTTGTGGAAAATGAATTTTTTATTCTTCAGAAATGATTTCATTTCATGTCTTGCTGTCATAGAGCAACACAGGTAGAATGTTGGTATTAAAAATGTGCCTCTGCTTTTAAGTGAAGCTTAGGATCATTAAAGGAGCTCTTCAATTATCTGAGGAAATGAAGTTTTCTCTCCTCTATGTAAATCTGAGCCCAACGAATTGTTGATCTAATTATAATGATCAAAATATAGACAATAAAGCAAAACACTCAAGTGATTATGAATCTTTTCAGTAGCCAATGTCATCTATGTTCTGTATGGTTCAGGGAGAAAACTGGACAGTCTTAGAATAAGAAAACCTGAGTTTAATCTCTAAACCTGGGCAAGTTGCTTCACCTTCTCTAGGCTTCAGTTCCTCACCTATAAAATGTAGGTATTGAATAGATGACCTTTCCTTCCAGCTCTAACTCTATGATCCTAAGCATAATATTATCCACAAACAGAAATTCCTCTATAACCTGGACTCTCTGCTGGAATCTCTCCATCAAAGTGGAAGCACTTTTAGTGATCATACATTTTCCTGATTTATGCTGCTCTTGATCTTAATGATCAGAATCACTGATCAGGATTATTTTTGTTGTTCTGTCTTTCAAAGAATCTTAAAAGATTTTTGATATGTGGATAAGACACACTTTATTGAAAAAGAGCCTGTAAGATGGCATTTTGTTCCACTGAATCAAATGTTCAACAAGCAATAAAGCACAGTGAGATCTCATATCCTCTACAATTTTCAATTAATTGTGAAATGGTCAAGATGTGGTTCATTGTTGAATCATTTCTAAAAGCTTTCATTCACTACACATAGCCAATCAATTGCCAAGCCTTGTCAATTCTACATTCACAATATTTCTTGCATATGAACCTTTCTTTCTATGTGTGGTCACCACATCTTTCCCTGGGCTATTGCAAATACACCATTTGGACTAGACTGTAGAGTGCATGAATGGGAGTAATGTGAAAAAGCCTTGCAAAGTAGATTGGAATTAGAGGTAAGAGAGAACTACTGCAAGCTCCCTGGGCACAAACCTTAAAAAAAAATATCTATCTGTCTGTCTGTCTATCTATCTATCTAGTAGCTATGTAGAAGATGGATGGAAGAGGAAAAAAGACCTGAGGAAGGGAGAACATTTTTTGTAGTCAAGAAAAATTCTCACAACAGCCATGTTCTTCCCATCCCTCTCTGCCTTTCCTCCCCTCTCCCTGCCCCCAAACAAACAAATCATGCCTCCATCTGCACTCGCGTTCATCACTTCTAAAAGGGAGATGGACAGCATGGTTGATTATAAGTTCTCTGGTTGGTCTTTGAGTTGATCAGAGTTTCTAAGTCTTTCAAAGTTGTCTTTACAACAACATCAATACTGTAAAAATTCTCCTATGAACCATATTTTTAACATCAACATTCTTTGTATGATTCTACAAGAAAATGAATCATCCAACACCACAATCTCTGACACATCAAAATGGTTTTCTGGTTAACCCTGTTAACTCCACAATTCAATTAGTTAAAGCCTGTTCTTTATACATTCTTATCAACCAAGATTTCACTATTTATTTATATATTAGGGGGAATATGTAACTTGAAGGGCACATTGCATAGTAAACTCCGCCCACTTTCACTCACTGTAATGAAAAACAATTGATGACTACTGGTAGTGCTACTCTTGGATCCCTTATTATATGAAGAGTTTCAATTAAATACCTGGAAGACTTAAGAGAGTTTATCTTTGTGTCAACTCCCATTCTTATCATCTTTCAGGGGAATTAGATGAGCCTAAGCAATTCAAATTCAATGTTCAACTTTAGTACTTACCAGCATGCACAATTCTATTCAAAGAGGTAATATTTATTGTTCTTACTACGTAATACATAATTATAGCCTGTCTTACTTGTTAATAGGCTGTCCAGAATCCTTCTGTACTTATAGAAAAGTATTTTTTTTTAATACTGGCTTCATGCATCATATGTCTTCTTTCCA